CAACAAAAAAATGTCCTGGAAGAGATAGTTTCACAGCTGAATTTTATCAGACCTACAAAGAAGACTTGGTACCCATACTGCAGAAATTATTTCATAAGATCCAGAAGGAGGAAATCCTCCTCTACTCATTCTATGAAACCAGTATCACCTTAATACCAAAGCCAGGAAAGAACAGAGTTAAATAAGAAAACTATAGACCAATATCCCTTATGAATATAGATGCAAAAGTCCTCAATAAATTCTATCCAAACTGAATTCAGCAGCACATCAAAGAAATAATTCACCACAACCAAGTGGGCTTCATCCCAGGGATGGAAGGATGACTCAACTTATGTAAATCCATAAATATGACTCACGATACAAACAGAAGCAAAACCAAAATTCAATTGACCATTTCAATAGATGTAGAAAAAGCATTTGACAAAATTCAGCACCATTTTATGATAAAAACTCTTAAAAAATAGGCATAGATTGAATATATCTTAAAATGATAAAAGCCATATATAACAAACCCACCACCAATATCACACTGAATGGAGAAAAGTTGAAAGCATTCTCACTCAAAACTGAAAAAAACACAAGAATGCCACTGTCACCACTTCTATTCAATATAGTGCTGAAAGTCCTAGCCAGAACAATTCGGTAAGAGAGGGAAATTAAGGATATCCAAATGCAGAAAGAGGAGATCAAACTATTGTTCTTTGCTGATGATATTATCTTATATATAGAAAATCCCAAAGATTCCATCAAGAAACTCCTGGGATTGATAAATACATTCAGCAAAGTCTCAGGTTATAAAATTAATGTACACAAATGGGTAGCATTCCTATATATCAATAACAGTCAAACTGAGAATCAAATCAAAGACTTAATAACTTTCACAATAGCTACACAGAAAATAAAATACCTAGGAATATGTATTACCAAGGAGTTGGAAGATCTCTACAAAGAGAACTACAGATCACTGAGGAAGGAAATTGCAGGTGAAGTAAACAAATGGAAAAACATAATATGCTCATGGATTGGCAGAATCAGCATTATTAAAATGTCCATATTACCCAAAGCAATTTACAGATTCAATGCAATTCCCATCTAAATAACAACATCATTTTTCACCTATCTAAAAAAAATAATTCTACACTTTGTTTGGAGACAGAAAAGAACCTGAATAACCAAAGCAACCGTAAGCAAAAGGAACAAATCTGTAGGCATCACTTTACCAGACTTTAAGCTATACTTCAAGGCTATGGTAACCAAAACAGTATGGTACTGGCACAAAAATAGAGACATAAACCAATGGAGCAGAACAACCCAGATATAAAAAACCATCCACATATTGCCACCAGATCTTTGACAAAGCACACAGCAATATATACTGTGGAAAAGAATTCCTATTTAATAAATGGTGCTGGGAAAATTGTGTAGCCACATGTAGAAGATTAAAACAGGATCCACATCTCTCACCACTCTCAAAAATTAATTCAAGATGATAATAGATGTAAACCTAGAATTCTAGAAGAAAACGTTGGAAAAACTCTTCTCTATACAGGCCTAGGCAAAGAATTTATGAAGACCACAAGGACAATCATAGCAACAACAAAAATAAATAATTGGACTTGATTAAATTAAAAGCTTCTGCACAGCCACGAAAACAACCAACATAGCAAATAGACAACATACAGAATGGGAGAAAATACTTGTATATTATACATCTGATAAAGGGCTAATAACTAGAATCTACAAAGAACTCATGAATATCAATAAGAGAAAATCAAACAACCCCATTAAAAACTGGGCAAAAGACATCAACAGAAGCTTTTCAAAAGAAGATAGACTAATGGCCAATAAGCATGAAAAAATGTTCAATGTCACTAATTATCAGGGAAATGCAAATTAAAACCATAATCAGACATCATCTAATCCCACTGAGAATGGTTTTTATCAAAAAGTTGCAAAACAATGGATGTTGGTGTGGATGTGGAGAGAAAGGAACATTTATATACTGCTGGTGGGACTGCAAACTAGTGCAACCTCTATGGAAAATAGTATGGAAATTTCTCAAAGAACTAAAAGTAGACCTATCATTTGATTAAGCAATCCCACTACTGGATATTAACCCAAAGAAAAAACAAATCATTTTATCAAAAAGACACTTGCATTCAAATATTTATTATAGCACAATTCATAATCATAAAGATGTAGAATCAACCCAAGTGCCCATCAATTCATGAGTGGATTACTAATATGTGGTATATGTATACCATGGAGTACTACTAAGTCAGAAAAAAGTGAATTAATATCCTTTGCAACAATCTGGATGGAACTGGAGACCATTCTCCTAAGTAAAATATTATAAAAATGGAAAAATAAACACCACATCTGTTCACTATTCAGTTGAAGCCAAATGATTAGCATTCATGTGCACAGATGGAAGTAAAATTCAATGAAAATCATACAAGTGGGTGTGAGGAAGAGGTGTAGGTGAAATCATACCTAATGATCTGGGTACAGATCATTACCCATGATCTGATCATACACTATCTGGGTAATGGGCACACTTGTAACTTTGACTCAAGCAGTACAAAAGTAATCCATGTAACCAAAATATGTGTACGCCCATAATATTCTGAAATTTTAAAAAAGAAAAAAAAAAAGAAATTGCTTGTACCTTTCACCCAGTATTCTAAAATGTCTGCTTCTCACAAACTATAGTACAGTATCAATGCCTGGAAATTGAGATTGATGTTACGTATGTTTAGTTCTATGCTATTTTATCACACATAGAGGTTTGTACAACCACCACTGTAATTAAGATACAGAGCTATTTCATCATCACAAAAATCTTCCTCTTCTACCTCACAGATTCACATTCACCATTTCCTCCTACTCATTATCTCTAAACAGTGGCAAGCTATAATTGATTTCTCATCTCTCTAACTTTGCAATTCAGTAATATTACACAAATGAAATAATGGAGTATGTGAATTTTTGAGATTGGCTTTTTTCAATAGGCATACTGCACTTGAGATCCATTCAAGTTATTGTATGTACCAAAAGTTGATTCCTCTTTATTGCTGAGTAATATTCTAGGGTATGGAGGTACTACTATAATTTGTTTAACTATTTACTTATTGAGGGACATTTTGGTTGTTTCCAGTTTTGTACTGTTACAAACAGAGCTGATATGAGCAAAAAAAATGATGTGCAGGTTTTTGTGTTTGTACATAAATTTTCATGACTCTGGTACAAATACCTAGGAGAACAATTGTTGGTTTTTATAATAAGTATATGATGTTTAGTTTTATTTTTAACTGGTAAACTATTTTCTAGAAAATTGTAAGGTTCATTATCCTCTTTTACATATTTATACAAGAAAAACTCTCATATGTGATCATAAGAAAGTTCACTGTAGGCTTTACTTAACAGCTAAAAATGGAAACAATCTGAATATCCACCAGAATAGATTTTTTAAAAAATTATTTACTCATATATTGAAATATTATAAAGTCTAAATAAATGAACCATGCATGTAATCCTAGCACTTTTGGAGGCAGAGACAGGAGGATTGCTTTAGGCCAGGAGTTCAAGACTAGCCTGAGCAACATGGTGAGACTCTGTCTTTACAAAAATAAAAATTAACAAAAAAATTACTAGGCCATAGTGGTTCATGCCTGTAGTCCTATCTAATTGGGAGGCTGAAGTGCAAGGGGATCATTTCGGCCTAGGAGTTTGAAGATGTAGTGAGCAATGATGATGCCACTGCTTTCTAGCTTAGGAAACAGTGCAAGATCATGTCTCTAAATAAATAAATAAAACTAGAGATATATGTCAATGTTATAAATTACTTTTTTGAACAAAACAAGGGTCAAAATGACACTTTTAATATGATTTTTACATATTAATTGTGTAATATTATTATAATCTCTTTTGTAGTAATTGTAGAAAAACATCGATGGGAATAGTAAACCTAACATTTAAGAAGGGGATTATCTCTGGAGAAGGAAGGGGTTTAAGGTAGAAATTCAATTGAGGATTCAGCTAGATTTAAAATATTTGATTCCTTAAAATAATTTGAAGGAAGTTTCTAAATGTTAGAACTAGGTAGCTCTGGGTAGATGATACATAGGTGTTTGTTATATGATTCTCTGTTGTCTCCTGTGTGCTTATCACATTTTATAGTAAACAAAAATGAATTAAGTATAAAATACCTTGAGTTGAGTGCTTAAAATACGATTTCATTATTTAGATTTAAGTCTCAAACACAATGTAATTATTAATTATTTTCCAGGATCCTAAGAAAATAAATGCATTAAACCAATGTAAATTGTGTACATCTGCAGTCCCCAACTCCCAGGCTATGGAGCAGCACCAGCCACCTGCATTCTGAGGCTGCCAGGAACCAGATGCACAGCAGGAGGCGAGCACGGTGTGAGCTAGGGAAGCCCCACCTGCACACACTGCCGCTCCTGTTGGTCGCTGGCATCACTGCCCAAGCCCCGCCCCACATCAGATCAGCAGACCCTCACAGGAGCACCCCCACTGCAAATGCACATTCAAGGAATCTGAGTTGTGCACTTCCCATGAGAATCCAACGCCTGATGATTTGAGGTGGAGCCAAGATGGCAAGGCCTCTCCCAAGCCCCCATCCCTGTTGTCAAAAAGGTTAGGGACCACTGGTATACGTAATGTTTTAAAATTTTTTAAATTGTATGTTTTAAACATTTTGAAGTAGTCTCTTTTAGAAACCTATTTGTGCAAACCTATTTATTTGCTTTCTTAAAAAAAGAGAAAGAAATTTAAAAACAATAATGGCATATGAGAAAAGAGCATATAACAAACTTCAATAAATTGTTGTAAAATGAACAGTTGGTGGTGTGTTTGCCAACCAGAACACAGCAAAACACAATCTGGAATACATGCATTAAGGGTTATTACCAAGAATGGAACAGATTGGCTTGGTAGAACTCCAAAGGGGTATCAGGCTTAAAGAAATCTAGTACCTCCGAAGGAGTGAGAAACAAAGCTGAAAGCAGGAAAATCTGCTTGCTGAATGATCTTTCTTCTTCAGCAATCACTGCTTGTCTCCCTAAAGGAAAGTTCAAGCTCTTTTGTAAAAGAATTAAATAAAATGTCTGACGTTAACTAGGAGATTTAGAAGTACCACAGCGTAATTGCTAGCCTACTTACCCAAAAGTAAATCTTACCACTTGCAGAACTCCACCACTGTATCCAATGTGCTCTCAAGTAGACTTCTCTTGCCTTGCATGTAAATATGAATCAACAAGCAACGATCATGTGGTACCTAATGAAAAGTCTGCATCATAAAAAACAAAACAAAATAAACAAACACTGGTGGTCATAAAGCAAACAAATAATTCAGAATAAACAGTATGCTAATTAGTATCTTTAGCAAAATTTGAGACAATTTACACTCACAAAGCAAGAATAGGATGCTATGAAAAGGGAATATAGAATGAGAAAATTCTTGGATGTTGAAAATGTGATTTTAAAAAACTGTGCCTGAAGGGTTACAAAATAAAATTGAAGAACTGCCCCAAAATGTAGATTCCAATGACGAGAAGGTAAAAAAAAAAAAAAAAAAAAAAGAGGCAGATGATCATGTGACTAAAGTCTTTCCAGAAAGAAAAGAGAGACAATGGATGCAAGGCTCCAAGAGAAGGAGGGGTGCAAGGCTGCAAGAGAATATGCATGGTGGGAAGTAGCCCTATGGTGGCAAGGTACTGATGGTAGTGCTGTTGGTGGCACAGGGAGGTGAGTAATGTTCTAATCAGACTCATGTGACGCTGATTTTGATTGTGTGCTCAGCTGTCTGGTCTTGCTTGATTACCGCTCACTGTCAGAGCCTGGTTCCTCAGCTTTTCTGTGCATTTAATGACAGTGTATTCCTTTTCTGTCGAAATTATCCAATGCAATTTCTGTTCACTGTGTATTCTAAGATCGATATCAAAGAGCTAAGATACATGTCATTCCAAAAAGTACACGAAGATGCAAAGCTGAATCATTGTGTCTTAGAAAGGAACTTTTTAATGGCCAAGAGTATGTCACATGTTCCTACTTCTAGAAAGCTAGACTTTTAAAATCTAGTGTGAGACTGGGGAAAACTGCTGTCTCTTTATCTCTCAGGGCAAGAAACAGATTTCTGCTTCTTGTTAATGTCCATATAATGGATGATTCCCCTAAATTAGGAAAAGGGTATGAACATTGGATAGTCAATGTTAATAAAACATTATAAATAAAACAATGTTAATAAAACATAATAGTCAACATTAATAAAACATCTTACTCCACCCTACACACATGGCAGAATTAATCTAGGCTTATTAATAAATGAATGAATGTCAAAATTCAATGTGAAAATATTAAACAGTTATAAAATTATGAAAACCATGTTATGGACACATAAATACAATTTTCACTTCAATTTCTTTAAATCTCAAATTTATTGGAAAGTTTTTATTAATACAAATGTATTGACCAGTTTTTAATGTTTTCTATTAAAATATAGAAAATATATAAACAGATTTGATATATACATGTATACATACAAATATATACAGGTATATAGATAGTGTATATGTGTATGTGAATGTGCATTATGCATATGAGGTCACAAAAGCTAATAGGAAGAATATTCAGACAGAGGTCAGAACTGTGGATTAAATTGTGGCATTAGCCTTGGGGTTCTTCTCATACATAAAATGGATAACTTTGATTAGATAGAATAGTTACTTTCAATTTTAAAAGTCTATGATTCTTAGTGAGTGTGTGGATGAGTGTGTGTATGTGTGTGGGTGTATGTATGTAAAGTAGAGCTGGAAGGCCTACCCAAAACTATCTTGGAATTTATAATGGACCTTTTTAATTTTCATCCAGTTAGAAACTTTTCTCCCTTTTTCTACTAATGCATCCTCTTTCCTTGGGATATTCATTTTTCTTTATTCCAACCAATTGATTCTTGTAAGGTTCAATCACAATGCATCAGTGTGCAGCTGCCCCCAGCCTGACCATAATAATGCTATAGCCCCTGGTCACTGTGCTTGACTCAGAAGTAAGGCACATTACCTGGACCAGGGTAATCAAAACCTTTATTAGCAATCTTAATATTAAAGCCAGAAGGAAGACCACCTTTACTTGGAACTGCTAAACATGCTATGATCTCATCTCCACTCTCCACCCTTATAGTCTGAAGGAAGCTTTCTGAAGAGAGGATGTGGACATAATCCAGAAAAAGGCTAAAATAAGAGATGGAGGGAAAAAAAGGAAGAATCCTGATGACATTGTTAGAGTCTAGTTCTATCTCTTCAGTTATATGTGCCTCTTTTTTTTGGCTTAAGCTATATTAAAATGGATTTCATTTGCTTATAGAGAATAGTGTTCTTTAACTCTGTATCTTGTGGCACAAGCTGATTGCAAACTATAATTTAGTTTTTAGCCTCTAATTGACATTATAATTAAGTCCTTCAATAAGTATATGGGTCTTGAATATCCTTTCTCCAAAGTTGGAACAGCAGATATAGCTCAAAGGACATAAACTAAGTAAGAGTGGGACATTTGCAATTAAACTATATAAGAATAGTCCGGTGGCATTATCCCTGGACACATAAAATCACATATTAATCAACTAGCATTATACCTGGCACAGAATAGCTGTTCAATAAAGGCCTGTTCCCTCTGGTAAACATTTTTGAAGATAATACAAAAATAAAATAGTCCTCTCTCCACTATGTAAACATGTATTATTATCATTAGTCTCCATCTCAGTTTGAAACTTCAATATTTGAGTTTGACAATAAGGAAAACTGAGATCTTTTCTGGTCTTTTTAAAGATGCTACTTAAACTCTTTCTTAATAATTTCATAATTTGTCATTGTATGTATTTGGATTTAGGATGTATTATATAACCACTTGCCGACTATAATTTTATTTTCCCATTTTCTTGATGCCCATTATTTTTAATTATTTAGAATCCTGTTGTACATCATTATAAAGTTTGAATAATCTACATAATACATTTACTTCTGCTATAATGCCATATTTATCTATATAGATTCATAGATATATTGAAGACAAATCAAGAGAAAGAGGGAGAAAAATGAAATAAAATTGAAATCGAGTAATTTAAGAATGTTTATTTAAAAGTGCATAAGAGTAAAGTTTCTATGAATGTGTCCTCACAAACTAAATGATTTCATCATCACCCGGATCAACATCTGACATTTCAAAGAAGATAGCCTAAGATAAAAATTAGACTGGAATCCTGAATCTGACATTGGTGAGCAAAATGAACGATGTTGGATAAATTATATTCTGGACTTCATTAATTTTTCTGATTTGAACTATTACAGCCCCTACGGTTGAAAAATCAAATTCTATATGAGAATTTGGTGAGTTTCACCAGGGCCAGAATCATGCATAGAAGTTAAGTGACAAATTTCTTTTGTGTTTTTCCAAAGTCCTTGTGGGCACCACATGGACTTCCCTTTCCTATTTTCAACCATTCCAGCTCTTAGTGGAGACATAATATGTTAGATTTTTCTTCACTTCCATTTTCCGGTGCCTATGCCTCTATCCTTTGGCTACACTGAGCTTCTCATTGTAGGTTTCACCCAAGCCAAAGAAATTTTGAGGGGAAGTATTCTAAAATTCAAGCATCTCTTTTCCATCTCCTCTATCTATTCAGTGTTACGGTATTGTGTTTTGCCATGTTGGACTTTTGGCTCTATTAAATGTTAAAGTAAATTACAATTTTCACCCTTCTGAAGGATATTTTAACAAGGAGTATTTTTCCATGATTCAAAGGAATTAGTATTTAACAGTGGGACTTGGGGCCCTACCACAGGGAGACTGCAGGCTAGTTAGGGTAATATATGGGCAACATGAAAAAAAGAATAATTTAAGTTTTAATAAAGCCTATCAAACTGTAATCAAACATTAGTTTTTAGTCAATAACAAATCATTATGAAACTTAAAATCTTCATTGAGCATTTCATTAATATCCCTAGCCTATTAACTTTTCCATTGTTTTTATTGTTGTTTTATAAATTGGAATTTGAACTTGTTTTCTCCCCTTTTTGGGGGGAGGGGACATCAAGGGGAGGGTGACTAAGTGAGTGGGGGAAAAGTTGTGGCTCCAGCAAGCATGACTGGATTTCAAAAGTGTTTCTGTAACTGGAGGGAGAATGTGCTTGCAGGTATTCCAGGCCATAGCTCTCTCAAAGATCTTCCCACATGGCTTGCTTAGCTTTTACTTTCATTTTGTATTAAACAAAAAGTCATTTGAGGGCTATTTAATGCTCTGGTTTGTGTTTTCCAATACCAGATAAAAGTTAAACAGATGAACCATTTGGGGGGTAAGGATTGGGAAATCCACGGCTGCTAAAATGCTTTAAAGTTTCAAAATGGTTTTGTTTTTTTAAACCCATTTTCCATGTTCCAGCAGCTGTGGGTTTTCCCAGGGCTCCCCCTGTGGCTCAAAAGGGAGCTGCTTAATGCTTAACAGATGAGCCAATTGAGTTTTTAAATGCAAAATTAAACTTAAAGTGCACAAAGAGCACAGGGGAATCCACAGCCAAGAATAGACTGGAGGAGGAGAGTGAGCTGCGAGCACCAGGCTGCCAGGAGACACAGCCTCTTCTACTGCAACCAGCAGCAACTGAGAGGATGGTACAGGCAGGTTTATCTTTTCATCATCCCTCAAACAGGCTGCGATTATACTCCATATTATCAAAAGGGATTTTTTTTAAATAACTACTGGCTTTAGATTTATTTATATGTGTCTATTTTTCTTTAAGAACGGAAAAGAAATAGATGGATGGGCTCTATAGAATACAAGTACAAATGTATTTTGATCTCCATCAGGTTTGTTCTGTCTGTGATGGTGAGAGAATTTGGTCCCCTCCCTAGGTGCCTTACTTCCTGTGCCTCAGATACTCTTAGCAGATCTAGATTCTCAGGACATTCTGCTTTGAATATGAGGAGCCAGGATGCTTGTGCACTTTAGTTGGGAAATAATTTGCCAAGTCACTGAATAAATTATTTTAGTCATTCATCTATTTGAGCATAAAAAAAAAGCACTGGACTTTGGTACTTAAAAATAAAATCCAGACAAAAAGTTTTTGACAACTTTATGAAAAGTCTTCTCTGATTCAAAATAAATCCCCCTAACACCTTTAAAAAGAAGATCTCCATTTTAATTGTATAACTTCTTTTTTTAAAAGAGCCTCCCAACATCATCAAGACTAAAATATCATTGATGCAATTTCTTTTATTGAAGATGATAAAAAAAAACCATTGGATTCCAAATCATAGACATCTGTTTAGGAGCCAATCTCTTGATTTCAACAAGTTTTTCATAGCAATGTGTACATTGGCATTCCAGATACGGATATATCCCAGCTGATCAGGCTTACAGCCTCCCAGATTTCTGGACAATATATATAGGAAGCATAAATCTTTTAGCATTTTGGGGGGCATATATTCTTTGTCGTCTATTGCATTTTAATTGCATTTGAGGAAACTTAGGATAATATAAACAAGTGCCTGAAAAATGACAATTCCATTGGAAAATTTCTATTGTTTAGATCTTGCATTCATATTCTGCTTTTAAGCTTGGGAAACTTGAAAATTCTTTAGTTGCTTACTTTAAGAGAAATAATTTTAATAGATAACCAAAAATGCTATTAACAACAGCAGAAATGTCTTCATTAGGATACCAAGAAGAGTCTGCTAGAAAGTTTCCTATCTGATATTATTGGAGCTCAGAAAAATTTCAAATTTGATATTATCAGAGCTCAGAAAAAGATACCCCAAAGTATGGTGCTTTGGCATACTGACTACTTTGAACTAAAGGAAACTGGAAGCCCTCAGAAGTAGCCTCAGAACCAAAGTCTCATCGACCTTCTCCTGCCCTTCTGCCTCTCATGCCTCATTCTCCCCTGAAAATGAGTCACAGAAACAAGAATTCCTCTTCCCAAGGCAAGTCATAGAAACTAGAACTTTGCTTACCTTGCTTTACCTTGTTTTTCCCCAAAGCAGGCCATAAAATCTAGAGTTATTACTCTAAACTTCCTGACTTTCTGTGTAAGTGTTGGCCGTAAAGAAATTCTCTGACCTACCTTATCTGACAGATCATAAGACCCTCATTCCAGAAGGGGTCCTGCCCTATAACCAGGAGAAAGTAACACCACATGGAGAGGCCAAGAATCCAAACAGGCAGGCCATGCTGGGTTTTCCCACTCAGTCTATTACTATTAGATCATTCCCTTTTTGTCCAATCACATTTCTAGACAGCTGTCCGCTCTTCATTGAATCTAAGCATAAAAATAGTTTTCCCTTGGGCCTTTCAGTATTCATTTCTGAAGGCTCCTATGTCACATAAAACTTTGATTAAATAAATTTAGTATGCTTTTCTCTTGTTACCCTGTCTTTTGTGATAGGAGTGTCAGCCATGACCTTTGCAATGGGAAGGAAACATAACACACCCTTTTCGTCTCTACAATATGTCGCCAAGTCCAGCAAAGACTAGGGAAGTCACAAGGTTAGATAAGGTTAAAAATGTACACACACATGCACACATATATGCATCTGTAGGTACACACACATCCCTTTATAAGGTTGCCCATTCAATTACAAATTATATTCATTTTTACCTCTGTAAAATTCTCCAAGTAAATCTGATTTTAAGGTTTGAGAACTATCATGACCCACTATCATCCCCTGCAAAAAAGAACAAAACAAACAACCCAATAAATAAATAAATAAGCAAATTATACAACAGATCAGTATCATTTGGATTTAGTCTCCACCTTCATTCTGATACTTGTCAACTCTTAATTGTTTCATGGAACACTTATTTTACCTTAATCATTTAAATTTAAAGTGTTGGTTGTGAAATGACAATTTCTAGAATATAATTTGGGATGAATATTCCTAGTGTGCATTTGTGACTGTATTAGATTTGTACCTTTTAGGTAATCAAATCCACTTGAGTCATTGACTAGATCCAGCATTGTCAGTTTGCCTGAAGGAAAGATACTGATGAGGCTGGGCTCCCGAGAAAGCAATCATATGGTTAATTGCTTTAGTGTGAACCTAGCCATTGTGATTAAAGCCTAGGACTTGTGTTTAGGTAGAGGAGAGCTTCCATGCTTCAAGGCACTCCTTGGCATATCTAGTACTCTCCAGGCCTTGAGAAAATGTGCTGAGGCAACAGCATATTTCCCTGAGGAGTTGCAGTGTTTGGGGGGATCAATCATTAGACCATATTCAAAGAAACTGAGTTAATTTGAATATGTAATCACTGGATCACACATTCATATAAATGCAACCTCTTTGAAAGGGTGATCATCAGAATGCAGATTTAAATAAACAAGAACATACTCAAACTTTGACATATTATGTACTTGAATTTAATGTGAATCTGTGCTCACCCCCAGAGGATTTTATACCTGTCATCTAAGGATGCCTGTATACTGCTACTGGTATGCTTTTCAGGGACATAAATTAAAAAGACACATGCTCTGTTTTTAAATAAAATGTTATAGCTTTTCTTTTCATAATTGTAAATTTAGTTATTTCTTATAGAATGTGATTAGCAACATTTAGGCCATACTTTATAGATATATACAAACATATACATACACACATAAATATATGTGTGTGTAAATATGTACATAGATTAAATATAATACACAAAGCATTTCAAAACTTTTGTTTAATCTTTTTTTGTAACATTACATAGAATTAAAATCATTATTCTTTTCCTCTCCAGTGTAATGTTGGCTTCAGATTTCACTTTTTGCAAAGAAATACTAAATTATTAAGAAAGTAGAGTACTAGCTTTATATTTTTTTTAAATTACCTAACATACTTTTGGGGCTTTCACAAGTGAAGGCTAACATGCATTGATGCATAAAGAAATAGCTATCCATGTCCCAGTAATTCAAATCCAACACCATTTTGACTAGATTTTTAATATACTCATGGGAGTAACACAAGAGTAATTGATGATGAGTTCAAATGACTTGCATCTTATTCGTCTTATAATCTATCCCATAATCTGTTACTATATTATAGGCAATAATATTCTGTCAATTATAAAAACAATGGAGTTTTATTAATTTAACTATATTTATCGTTCCTCTATAACCTCATAAAAACTGACCCATGTGTATATAAAGCATATTAGAAACTCTAACATCTAGAAATAGATGCAGTTAATAAGATTTAGATTTTCAAGAAATGTTAACATAAAAAGGGAATTATATCAGGGTATATTCCTCATCATTTTGCATTGTTCACCGAACAGTTGACTTCATTTTCAGGGTGAATCTCTGAATGTTAATAGCAGATGCATCACATGCAGAAGCTGGGAACACGCAAGCCATGTTTGGCACATACATTCTTTGCAGGGAAAAATGTTACACAAAGCATATTGCATCAAGTGCTTGATTTCAAAAATGAAATCTTTCCTTTCTCTTTTAGACTTGCTTGATTTGTAATTTCCTACTATAGTAAAAATTTGCTCATAAAAAGGTTAAATATTAAAATTGAATGGGAAGCAATAGAAAGACAAAAACCTCTATTCCCCAATGCAAAAATCAAATATGCAAATATGAAAATGAGGGGACTCTGCCTCTTTTCCCCTCATACAACTGATTAAATTGTCACTGCTGGAGATTACATGGGGTTTTATTCCCTTTACAGCCATATTCAATTGGACAGACAGAAAAATATATTGCCACAGACGAGACCCACCACCTGGGTACACTGTGCTTCCAGTTGCTGCAGAGGTCTTGTCCAAAACTTTGCAGCTACCCCTTTAAAAAAAGAAAAGTATTAGATGCAATCATTCATGACAGACTAGATGGTTTCTAAAGTCCTTTCCAACTTGGAGATTTCAGGACAAAAACTCCTCCTCCCACTTCTAGATATTAACCTACAGTTTCTTTCTCATGTAACAAAACCTTCACCAGCACACTCCCTTTTTATATCTACCATACAGACAGATCATTCATTTTCCATAAGACTTTTATTTTATATATATGAGGCCCTGTTTTCCTGTGTTTGTACTTTATTTCCTAGCTAATTTGGTGAATTTAATTCCTGGCTTATCAATTTTAACACAGAACATCCCCCCACTCCAACCCTTTTTTTCCCAGTTGTCTCTTCCAGATGGATATGTTTGATTCTTGCAAAAATTGGTTACAGAAACAGAAAGATTACCTTTGCCTCTCTCCTGGTTTGCTGTGGTTCTGAAATGGTTTTCATCATCTGCCTCGGTGGAATAGAAGTTAGTGCTCAGTGACGATGTTGCCTGCCTGTGTCACCACACTGCAGGCTGAGCAGAGCGCTGCCTCCAACTGCAGGCGAGGGGCCTCAGTGTTAAGGACGCACAGAAGTAGTTTGTTAATGAGATCATTTCTCCAGTGCAAAGAAATGTAGCCACAAGCACAGGGATATTTAACAACTAAAAGAGGTGGTAGGATGATGTTTTTGAATTGGAGAAATCAGAAAAAACAAAAAACTAGGGAGCAGCAGATGCTTCATTGCAATGACAAGTGAATAGAACAAGTCTGTTTGCCTTAAGATTTGCAGTAGATATGCACATGTTACTTTGCTATAGAGAGGAAGAAATCGATCCCCAAAGAATTTTTGGTGGCTTGATGTGTGGATGGAAATATTTTTGTTGGTGTCAGCAAAATGATGCTTATGGATGTTTTTACTACATAAGATCTCTACTGTATTTGGTGATATAACTGCAATTTGAAAAAATGTATCTTCTCTGATTGGGTAGCTGACTAAACAATCAAGTTTCTCTTTTCTGGCATCCAGATGGGTAAATTTATAATGAAATCAAGTGGTTTCTTCATGCCAAAACCCCAAAATTTTTGCATTTGAAAACATGGTTAGATATATCATGTTTAAACAAAATATTCTGTTTTAAATTCAGAATTTTAAAAATCATTGCTCTCTAATATCATGTTATGCCCTTTTCTCAATTCAGATATCTTTTGCTGTCAGAATTAAAAATAGAGTTATGTGCATTCTACTGACTTGAACAAATGTAGGCTTCAACCCTTTATTCTCTGTTTGTGTTTGCTTTTTTTCTGTCTTTCCCATGTTTCTTTGTTTTCCTTTTGTCTTCCCCTTAAGACTTCCCAGGGTTTTTGTTTTATCATATTGTTCCTTTTGCCTTGTTCAATTGTTCTTTGACAAAAGTTTCATATTTAATCTAATTTTCTTGTTTTTGCTTCATTTTCCCCATAGTTTTACATTATTACTTCTTTTCTTCTCTTTTGCTGAGGCATTGCATTTATTTGTGAAAGTACAATTCCAAAAGTCAGAAGAGTACAACATGAACAAACTTTTCAGGTGAGTGTCCTTGTCTTTTAATATTTTGGTTTTTTGAATTATTTATTCCCTTTCCCAATTCTGGCCATTTTTAAATCCTCTTTTCATTTATTGCATTGTCTCTTTTATTACTGATAGCCTTCTTTTTCATTCTACTCCTGATGTTATAATTTCCCAGGCATCTGGTCATTACTAAAATGTGATCACCATTTATTCAACATTTAGAATAAGCAGTGTGTTCAAAGCTTCATACACATTCTCTTAAACTCTTACAATAAGCCTAAAAGGTAGATATTCTCATCCTCATCTGACATGAGGAGACAGAGGCTCAATAATTAAGGTACTGCCTTAAGACCACACAATAACGATGGTAGCAAGGATTTGTTCCCAGAGCTATCTGACACCAAATCACCCCTTCTTTCAACTAAACCATACTGAAACCCAAAATCAAAAATAGGTCTTGAAAGTTTGTTATGAATAGGGGGAAAATGTTCTCATTTATTAATATTCATGGATATGTAATCATGTCATTCTTAGTATGTACTCATACCTGAAATAATTAAATAGAAATTACTCCTTATATCTTCCTTTCAATAACATTTACCAACTTTAGTCTTATTTGTAATAAAAGAAAACCTCTAAACTCAAGTTACTACCTTCAACAAAATTTTTGACTAAAAGTAGGTCCAATTTTTCTTTGTATACATACCAATTTACTGACATACGACTATAAATATAAACAAACTATAATAGCAAGTTTCTGCTACCATAATAAACAAGAAATGACAACACTAGAATCATGAAGAGACTGGTGTTGTCTGCAAACCCCATAGCACTATATCAGCCTTTCCAGTAATGACATCAGCAATCAAATATGTTTTTACAGTTGTCAAAGTAGTGGATCAGACATCTAATCCCAGTCTGTGTGCAGCTGCTTTTCCTCATCCTTCCCTCCCTGAATTATATTTGTTTTTGGAGGATAAGGAAAGTACATGTTCTCTTATGTTCCTCATTTGGATTTAGAAACACCATACTTCTTGCTATAATGATGGCATGCAGGTGTCATTGTCTAAACAGGTCATTTTGCAAGTTTAATAAATCCACTGTTTAATCCTTACCACTTTCTTCATCTTATTCTTGCAATAGTATTTTTATATATGTATATTTACATACATATATTTACTTTTAAGAATCAGACTCTTATATTTGATATTCCATTAGAATTCTCTAAAATTGCTGCAGAGCTCTTCTGTGAAAAAAGTTGTATTTCCAGATTTTGGACAAGAGCTTAATAAAATTCTCTTTGATGGATTGCAGTCCTGAAAGCTGTTCTTGTATTAAGCTGCAATTAATGTTTCTACCCAGCAGTCTCCTAAGGAATTATAGAAGAACAAAGTTAGCAACTAGCAGACCTGAAATAGCTAGAGAGCTTTGACCACAGAAATAGGATAATAGCAATGCAGTGACTAAGAGGAGAGACTGAGGAGTAAGGAAAACCTGACTTCAAACTTCAGTTTTTATCATTTGCCATCTTTGTGACTTGGGAAAGTTACCTCATTCTTCTAAAGAGGAACATGATTCTAGTGCTTCTTTGTCTGTAAAATGGAATAATACCCACCTCAAAGGGATTTTGCAAAAATTTAATCAGGTAATAAATATAAACTATTGAAGATAGCATTTTGTATTGATTAAGTCCAATAAAAATGACAATTGTCATTGTCATCATCATTGATTATTATCTATGCAATAACTAAAAAGTTAATTTCTCTTTCTTTTCTTATTTTGGCATAATGTACTGAGCCATCATGTAGCTGAGTCCTTTATTTAGCTTATGAGTAGCATTTGAGGTCATTGTATTTTCTTATTTTGGTTGTTCTCCCCACACTATAACAACTTGATTATATAAAACTCCAATAATAACTTTAAGATCAAGATCAAGTCTGTCCCAAATAAAGTATACATAGCCAACTCTTCAGCACATATAGCACTTGGAATTTGTGTCTATTGAGAAGCACCTAAGAGTATAAACCATATAACAGCTCTCTCCTTGCTATATCAACATTTACTGGTTTTTTTTTATTTCCCTAACAAAAAATCCCAACACTATAGAAATGTTAAATAAATTACATTAAAATAAGCTAAATTTAATCCAAATATCATATCTGCCTAATGCAAACCATAAATTCATTAATGGTTTGCTTTATTCATATACCTATACATATGTATATGTCTTTATTCATTCAGCAAGCAGTTATCACATTATTTGTCTACAGTATGATAGGCACTGCTCCCAATAAGCTACAAAGAGCAGTCCTCTTTCTTTCCTATATATAGGTATCTGTATCCTCAATACTTAGCACAGTGCCTGGCGTCTGATAGGTACTCAGGCTGAATCAATCAATCAAATTCTACTTTTGAATGAATGGATTGACTTCCAGTTTGGATACTGCAAGATGAAAACAAAAGCAACAAACCAATCGCAATAAGTTCCATCTTTCACAATTACTTGCCAGGTCAAGAGTGATCAGATGTTGAAAGTTTGCTTCAAAGTTTCACTACTGTGACCCAGTATGTTTTCAGCTGGGTATGTCAGGGCTTTCCCAACAACAGTTTTCCCAATCAACAGTTTTACTTTGAAATAAAATTGTTTTAAAAAGAATGAATAGTAGGTGGAAAATAGTGATAGTTGTAACCTTGGCAATTATCCAAACTTTGGCAAACTGATTATTGGGAGTAGGAAAGGTCCAGGTATACCAGCTTTGGGAGTTCTCTAAAAAAGTACTATACTTAGGTAAGAATTATAGAACTTTATTGCTGATAGACTTTAGAAATCAGACAATTTTTACAGATAAAAAAGTAAAGCTCAAAAAGGTTCAGAGACCAACCTAAGGTCACTTAGAGCCCTGTCTCTGATGCCTAAGAAAATAAATGATCTCACCACTATATCACAAGACCCATTAAATACAAATGCTAACAGAGATAATTCCTTGAATGGCTACATTTTAAATTATCTGTAAGACATTAAAAAATACTAACCAAAAGTAGAAAATGTGTAATAAAATATTCAATATGCTTTTATAAAAGCATGTTATTTTCTATAAAAAGGGTTTTAAAATAATAGAAACTTCAGTTGTTCAAGAATAATGTACTTCTCTATTCACTTGAGCCCCTAAATCCAGATTAAGGCCAGGGTTGATTCCAATTGGCATGCCTTTTTCTTTCTTTCTTTCTTTCTTTTTTTTCTTCCAGCCATTCATATTGAATTTTAAATTCATGTTAGCAATGGACTATACAATCCAGGGGGGAAAAGAAGGAAGCAATAGGAATAGGGGTGGTGCTGAAAAAGTTTCTGAATGAAGGCACTTTAATCTTGGAAGATGAGATTTATGAGGAGTTCTTATACCTAAAATACCACACAGAGTTTGTTTGCAAATAATAATTTGGAAACATTAAAAAAAATTCACAATTGGAAAATTGCAACTGATCCTTTACAAATAACCGTTCAAACAGTAACAAAAGAAAGTGATGATCAATTCTATCATAGTTGTTCATTTGAAAGTAAAAGGCACAGGTTTTGGTGGGCCACTTATTGATAATATTGCTCTATGAAGGAAATAAAAAGCAATTATATTACTTTCACAGGAAGTTAACACTTTAGGATAGGCTATAATTAAACATTCATTCCAAACTATATTTTCTTCCTATTACTGGTTAACTGGGTGGTGTAAATATTCTTGAGAAATGAATTTATCTGTATAATATTCTATAGATGTAACAATGAAGGTTTACCCTGAAGAAACAGGATCAAGGCTTTAGAACGACTGATTGTAAGCATGTAATTATTTCTTTCAGATTTATAACAACATTCTTGCTGTTAACAAATATAAATGTAACATTTACTAGGAAATAAGAGACTGCAGACGGAAATAAACAAACCTAGGATATAGTTCATCTAAGTAAACACTGAGGTTATAAACCTTCCAACTCAAATATCAAGAGCCCTGCAAATTAATGCTACACACAATAGACCCTTTGGAAGCTAACTTAATCCACTCCCCTGAATCTACATGAGGGCCATGCATAACAATGCAGGAGCTGGGTTTCCATTAAGAGTTTCCTCTGCAGGCTGTCAGCTGTTTGAAGAAATAACAATTTCCTAGGCATGAAAGCTTTTTCAGGAGGTTCCCACTGATGTGTAATAAAAGTGACTTTCCTTTTTTTTTTCTCCTTCTTCCTTCCCCACCCACCCCCAACAAATGTAACATTATAGGGAGAAAAGGGGTGGACTGAGGCCATAGGCCCCCTACTAGTTTACCTTACGTGGATTATCAGTGCAGGTGTTAATATAATTGAAGGTGTGGTAGCAGATACAGCCCCCTAATAGCTTTTCCTATATGGAGATTACCTAGGTTGAGAATGCCAGAGTACCTGAAGAATAGGCAAGTGAGTACCTTATTAACATATCACCATTCAGCGGCAGCTGCATATCTGGAAGAAGAAGAAGAAGGAAAA